GGGCCTCGGGGGCGACCGCGCCTGGCAGCGGCCCCTCCGGCGGGTCCTGGGAACCGGGCGCCGGCGTCACCGCCCCCGGCTTGAGCGCCTCCTGCTCAGAGTCGTCGTCCGTGCTGCTGCCCAGCCCCCGCGCTTCCCGCCGCTTCTTCCGCTTGCGGTTGACGGCCGAAATGAAGGAGATCGCCAGCATCTCCCGGGCATAAGGCTCCTTCTTGGGCGCCCACGAGCCCTGGGTGGAGACAGGTCAGTATTCAGGAGGCGCCCAGACTTGCGTCCAGCGCCGCCCGCTCACCCAGTCCCAGGCAGGCGGGCCTCAGCTCCTTCCACGTTCCCACCCGGCACCAGCCCCGCTGGCATCAGAAACCGTTCCTCCGGGACCGCCGTCCGGCTGGCGTGTCACTGTCCGCTCTAGAGACTATCCCCGCTGCCCTCCTCCCTGCCCTGAAGCCTCCCTGGCACCCCTTCTGGTCTTAATCCAGACTCTCAACTCTTCCCTGTGAGCTGGGGGCTGGTCTAGCATCTCCACCCCGCCCAACTTCCATTCCATTCTCCATATCCAGCGCTAGATAAATCCTTTTAGACAGGCCTCTGGTAATAATATTCTCTCAGCAGTGAATAATACTTGTCAGTTTGAACCCATTTCACATAGACTATCCTGGGTTACAATCACCAGATCCTGGCAGAGACCCTTCTCTGACCACAGCCCCTATCCCGCTCCCTCTCTCCGCTCTCACCTGGGAAACCTGCCTTTGCCCCTACTCAGTGTGTACAGGCCTCTCCAGGGCAACCTGTCCAAATTCATTTCCCTTTCCCACTGCACCTCACTGCCATGCATTTCAGCCATTCCTCCCAGTGCCCAGCCCCAACAATCCCAACCGGAGATCAATCCAAAGGCCAGCTCCACTGCCAAAAGTGGCTCAAGAGCCCTGCTCAATTCGATGGTTTGGATTGAAGCCCTGTGGGTGTATTTTAGTCTTGGACTTCTGTGATCCCCCATGCTGCCTATCACTGCCTCCTTCAATCTAGTTTTTAGTCTTCCCTTTCTGGCCTCTCCTCTGACTTCTGGAGGGGGCTCTTCTTCTCCCTCTTACCCTTTAGGAAGCCATGTCTCGAGGGCTGTTCTCAGCCCCCTCTCTTCTCGCTCTGTTCGTGCTGTTCATGTCCTCTGGGAAATACCCTTCCTGAACATCCCTGCTCCCGAGGCCTCCTTGTCTAAAACTAAACTCTATTTGAGCTCCAGACCTTTGAATCAGTCTCTACCAGGGTATGAGCACATGCACATAAAGGTCAAGGGATTACTCTAGAAGCTATGGGAAACCAGGGGCTAGCAGGTGCAATGGGTGGGAGGGACAAGGAGTTAGATTCAGGTCACTATAATGAACTTGCTCCCTGCCACAGAAGTCTTGTGATGGAGTGAGCTCCCCATCACCAGAGGTATGCAGGTAGAGGCTTTATGGAGAAGTTACAAGGGACCTCTGCAGACTAGAGTAGCTTTTTTTCTTTCTTTCCAGTGCATTCATCTGATACATTATGAGCACCAGCCAATGTTTAGAGACCCAGACAGAAATAGACCCAGTTCAACCAGCCAATACTTAACTGATTTCACCAACTACAATGGACAGAATTGTGCCCTGCCCCTCAAATTCATATGTTGAAGCTCTAACCCCCAATGTGATAGCATTTTGATATGGGGCCTTTGGAAGGTAATTAGGTTTAGAAGAGGCTATGAGAGTGGGGCCCTTATGGTGACATTAGTGCTCTTATGAGAAGAGACACCACAGAGCTCTCTTGCTCGTTCTGTAACATATGAGGACCCTGGGAGAGGGCAGCCATCTACAAGCCAGGGAGAACACTCTCACCAGAAACTGGCCATGATAACACCTTGGTCTTGGATCTAGCCTCCAGACCGTGAGAAAAGAAATTTCTGTTGCTTAAGCTACCCCAGTCTATGGTATTTTGTCTGGTAGCCTGAGCTGACTAAGACACACCACTGGCCATCAAGCTCTAATCTAACAGTCGGGTAGGGTGTGCCTGGGGCAGGAAGCCTCGCCTGACAGGTTCTGTCTGAGAGGGCAGGCTGGAGCAGGCGAGTAGCTGGCTATGAGATCTGGTTCAAAGAACCAGCTTTGGTTTTATTGATTTTCTCAATTGTTTTCAATTTCATTGATTTCTGCTCTTATCTTTATTATTTCCTTCCTTCTGCTTGCTCTGGGCTCTCCAAAGACCTTAAACATAGTTATATGGGACATATTTATTGTTAACTCCATTTATGGGGATAAATATTAGCCACCATTTACAGATGAGGAAGCTGAGGCTCATAAAGAGGTTAAGTAACTTGCTCAGTGCCCCAAAGCTACTAAGTGGTGGAGCCAGAACTCAAGCCCAGGACTGTCTGTGCTTCTAACCACTGGACAACACTGCCTCCCAAGCCAGCTCCTTCACAACACCAGATGCCTCACCAAGCACTGTCAAGGTGAGCAACTTCTCAGTTTATCTTGGACATCAGTGTTTCCTACCTTCCTTCCCAGAGACCATCAACTTTCCTCGGGGTCCACTTGCAATTCTCCCAATTCCCTTAACCCAAAAGTAAAGTGGGCTGGCTTGTACAGGGATAACACCTTCAGAATTGCCTTGGCACTTACCTTTGACTTGGCTGAACTACAGGTGGTGGAATCTGCTGGTGAGAACAGAAAGAAAGAAAAGTTGGATCGGGGCAAGAGCAGGCTGAGACTTGTAAACACAATTCCCTCTCTTCAAAGGCTTCAGAAACCAGGGAGTTCAGAAACCTGAGACTCCCGGGGCCCTGGGAGCATGATGGGCCTCTGATGTCACTTCCTATGGCACAGGGATGGATGAAGAATGATGTCAATCATCACTTGCTTTTGAGGCAGGAGGTGACATCAGGCTGCCAGCCACTGAACCCTCATTTGCCCAGGGTTAAGAGCAAGAGGGGCTTTGGGGGGGCCTACTTCTTCTCCCTTTCCTATCCCTGTGACTCCGAAGCACTGGAGAGAAAATGCCCAGTACCAGATGCAGTCCACGAAACCACAACAGTGAGACACAGCAAATCACAGATGCTCTGGAGAATGGAGACCACACAGTGCATAGAGCGGAGGAAGCCCCACATTCACCCCCACCCCCCACTTCCAGGACACGAGAAGGAAGGGGACCATGTGAATGAATCATCAAATACAGGTGGGACACAGGGAGGGAGAGTGGCCTGGGGACTACAGCCTTGTTAGGTTCCACCTCCAAACTTGAGGTCAATCCACCCTTATGGGGCAAGGCCCTAGTGTACAACCAGAGTTTTGAAGGAGAGTAAAATCATTATTACCTCAATGGGACTTGGGTCCCACTCCCTTAATATGACTGGGGTGGAGAAGGAACCAGAAACAAGTCCTGGCAGTGTCTTCTCCAGAACTGGGCAGGGAGCAGGCTGATCCAAGGACCTCCCGGGGTGTGATGGGGCAGTGGGCAGGTGCGGTTAATCCACACTCTCTGGCAAGCAAGTTAGATGTCTCCTCCCCAGCCCGCCCCCGCACACAGTGAGAAGAGCAGATGTGCTGATCACACAGCGACACACCACGGGGCAGGGGAGCGGCAGCGGGTGACTAGAAGAGACGAGGGCTCCTCTCTGCCACCCCCACCCCATGTCCTCTGGGCCCCTCCCCCAGCCTGCCTCTTACAACTGGGGGTGCTGTGATCCACCTCTGTCAGAGAGGGGGCCAGTCAAAACACTAAGGGCAGGTCACTCAGGGTGGGAGGAGTTAGTGGCTTGAGCCAAGAAGGGACTGGGCATTCCTTGGTCTCTGGGCTACTCTGCCCGGAGGCCTGGAAATAGGACTCAGGCTGAATGACCAGGGGCTCTGATTTCAGAAGCAGAAAGACAGTCCTTGAAGGTGACTGAGGCAGGAACTACAGCTACGAGAGGCCTCTGAAAGGTGGTATCATTGGTGTCTGGAGAGGCTGGGTCCTGCTACCTGCCAAGCCTCCCCCTGCCCCGATAACAAGAAGCAGCTGGGCTCGGCCTGGCCCAGCCCAGAGAGAAGGCCGTGGAGTGGGATCTGCAGGAGGGCAGCCATGCCGTGCCCAGACTTCCTGGCGAGGGGGACAGGATCGGGCTCTATCAAGTGCCTCCTTCCTCCTGAGAAGGGGCTTTCAGATGGGAGGCGACTGGGACAGGGTTGTTGACAATAATGGGTAGCTAGCATGTCACGGTGAGCTCCTCACAGCCCTGATGTCTCTGTCTGCCCCTCGTGCCTGCCCAGCCTTCTTATAATCACCCGCCACTGTTAGTGACCGAGGCCGCGACTGACGCCACACTGTACCCTTTAAATCTCCAACAGGTCCGCTGGAGGGGGGGAGGGGAGGAGAAGAGAAGGAACAGGATCCAGGGGGTGGGAGGAGAGCACAGGGAGGAGAGGGAGGAGGGATGGAGGGGTGCAAGGAGAAAAGGAAGAAAAATTAAAAGAGAACATGCCCAGAAGGACACAGCCCATGAGAAATAAAAAGCTCAGGAAAGAAACCAGTGAAGGAGGGCAAACAAAGCTCCTACCCAGCCCTGGGGTGGGGCAGCTGAGCAGATGCGGAGGTGGGCACACAGGCAAGCTGGACCTCCCCAGAGGGAGAGAAGGCCCTGCCACCGCCCCTTCTCGGTGGCGGGGACAGGGAAGGGTCCCGCTGGGGCAGAAGTAGGGAAGCTGGGCATCTGGCCCAGCATCTGGGGCAACATCTGGGACCCTCAGGTATGCAGAACCCACCCCCACCCCC